TTGCTATTTGGGAGAGTATATGATTGTCAGGTCTTTGGCCCCTATGGTAGGGTTTAGGGTCCTAGGGGTTATAGGTGTTTGGGGCTCGCGTTAAGGGTTGCAATTGATTGGCTTTGCTATTCGGTTCACTTCTGGCAGGGTGATCGTGATGTCCTAGGGTCTAAAACGACGTGCTTGTTGTGGCAGCTTGTTTTGACCACCTACCATAGCCTGGCCTACAGCCGGTACGGAAATCCCGGAGGGAGCCGTAGTAGTACGGTGAGTGTAAACAGCAAAAGTTTTGTCGAAGGCAATGCGAAGCACGTGCTCGCACAGGAGACTAACGTACCCCAAATTCCCGAAAGACCCTATAAACCCTAAACCCAGTGATCACGGAAGTCGCTCGAGACCGGGCTGGTTCTAATAACCCTTTGCGAGAATCTGTCCGAGTCGGAGCTGTTGTTCAGAGTTCTCCCTAGTAGTAGAGTAGGTAACCTTCAACCTTTTTTGGTAGTATTGTCCCTGTATAATCCCTATGTAACCAAAAATGTTAACCTTTAGTATTTAGTTCCGCATGATACCCGACAAGTAGTTCTCCTCATCAGTGACACTGTTTGGTGAAAGGTGTTGTCTGAGTCTGAGGCAAGAGATACTTGCGGACAAGGATTCGCGGATCAGGCTCCTCCGGGCCCATCCCTGCTCTGTGTTTTCGGTTTTAGGCTTGTGGTTTTTCGCGATGTGTAAGATGCTTCTTCGAAAAAGGTGCCCAGCATCGTTTAGCCCGTGTTCTGAACCGCTGAAACCGCGCCTGTATAGTTTCTGTTTGTCTCTCCAAAGAAGTGTTTTTGTTCCTCCCTCGCGCATTCCCAAAGTAATTGGTCATCGGTGCAGCTGTGTATTTGCAGTCGCTGCATCCTAATCTTTCTTGGGAGTTTTGGAGAGAAGTAGTTTCGGCTTGTACATGAATGTCACAGACTTTCAGTGCCTCTACCGCAGGAGCCTAAGTCCCACAAGCTGGGATATGCTCTTACACCTTACTGCAGTTACGACGTGTTCCGATGTCCAAAAAACCGAGACGGCTCCTTTCCTGCTGTGGGGCTCCGGGAATGGTACAAGGTCTTCATCAACAGGGTTTCGCAGCGAAGTTGGAAACCTTGACCCTGAGCCTAGACCGTAGTCTGCTGTTAAGACCACGCCAGAAGGGGACATGGGCTGTGTGATGAATCTTCTGCTCCAATCATGTCTTAAGCCGTACCTAAACCCCAAATAAGCTACCTTTTCAAGGACTTATATAAAGGAATCATTTTAGGGAAAACCTTCGAAAAGGTAGGTTATCTAGGGTTAAGGTATTCCTTGAAAAACACGTTTGATCGTTTGCTGAGCGTCGGGCTTCAGGTTCGCGTTTCAAACGGGCCTGGAGCGACTAGGGCTGGCTTAGAGCGTAGACCCCTAAACCATCCTAAACCCTGAAACCCCAAACTCCTCAAGCTCAAACCCTGTAAACTGTGGCGTTTCGTTCAGTTCATTGGGATTTCTGGACAGAGCCGGATGGCCCACACCAACTCGTTACCCTGGGAGGCTGGTGGAGTTGCCCGGGCCGACCCGCGGTGCTGCAGAGACGGTGCCTTCCCTGCAAGTCGGCGATGGTCTTGTGGAAATTGCGACGGCTATTTTACATACTGTCCTAACTGAATGTGACTGCAGATACCTTACTCAGAACCTGCTATCCATGAGCCTTCAATCACACAGCCGTGTAGTTGTTGAGCGAATATCGTCGCATCCTGGAATGCATGTGATCCTAACGCTGAAGTCCTGAAGCTTGTAACTTGCAGCAAGCTTCATCACGGGAGTTGATGTCGAGCTTCTGGAAAGAATACTGCAAAAGCTATTTGGAGTAGATGTTTGCGAATAATTTCTGAATGCCGGCGAGCTTGAGGGCTGAGTGGTTTCAAGTGTGCTATCCTAAGACCTTGGCCTTAAACTGCCCTACTACCAGACCAAAGTAGACACTGTATGAATACATGGAATACGGAGCCTTGGGGCTATTCATCTTTCAGCTTGTTCGACACCCCCGCGCAGACGACTCGTGTCACACTGCAAGTTGAATACCAACAAACCGAAGATGCAAGCGAACATGTTCACTACATTGATAACATGTTGCAACGGTTGGTGATATAAACCCTGCATTACCCATAATAGAGAACATACCATAATTCCAACAGTTTAGGTTCCTTAAGGTAATGCAGGGTTTATATTCTCAACCGAAGCACTACATGGATGGCTTTGAGGCGGCTGGCGGCTCTCACATTTAGACACACAGCTTCGTGCATGTACACTCATATCTACACGCAAACCAGTATCAAAAGCAATATTCTGAGGTTCTGACATATATACATATACACACAATATGAAATATATGTATATATATATATATATGTATGTATGTATGTACTTATATATGTAGATGTTTGTTTACTTATCTATCTATGTGGGCGCACACACGCACACACACGCACGCACGCACGCACGCACGCACGCACGCACGCACGCACGCACGCACGCACGCACGCACGCACGAACGCACGCACGCACGCACGCACGCACGCACGCACGCACGCACGCACGCACGCACGCACGCACGCACGCACGCACCCACACACACACACACACACACACACACACACACACACACACACACACACACACACACACACACACACACACACACACACACACACACGGGCAGACACTCGCCCACCCACAGTGAGGTGCTGATCGGGCTTCAGGCGTTGCCACAGGAGAAAGCCATGTACGGGATCGTGAGGGTATTGAAAGACTTTAAGGTTTAGGGTTTATGGTTATTGGTGCATGGCGCTCGAGACTCTCGTGTTCAGTACAGTATAAGGGTACTGTAGTACAGGTACTATAAGTATGCAGGCACGCTGAGGTTATTGAGCATTCCCTACTGTCCAGTCATGGCGTGCAGAAGCGCAAACTCTTTTCTTGTTTAAGGTATACTCGGACCATAAAAAGCGTACACATGCATATAAGGTGCTTTGTTTGGGTTGTAAAGTGTTCAGAACCGACGAGTCCCATGAACTGGCCCTGCAAAGGTTCTAGTCGTGACACGGTAGATGGAGGTCTGGCTCAACCCGAAACGGTCAGCTGTCGGCCCGACTGCTTCAATCAGACTAAAATCTGAAATCCCGAATTGTAGAATTGTGCGTGCTTCTTCGTGGGTTGTCGTTGTAGTTGTCGAGCTGGTCATCGTCTTCGTCGTGGTGGTCTTGATGGTGGCAGCAGCGGTGTGCACAGCGACACTGCCCAGGCCCTCCCAAGGGCCCGTGAGACAGGTAACCAGACACTGGTTCCAAAACTATGGGTCACCAAGCCTAGTTCCCAAAAATCCGGGTACCAGATTTGTTTAGGAACCAAGTGGTCCCGGGGAGACCTTCAGCAAACTCAACATGACATGTTGTGGACACAAAAACATACCAAATGCATAGTAAAACATGCCACTAACTGAGCATAGCAGCTTGATGATAGCATGTCAACAAAGCAAACATATACCGATTCAAGCATGATACAGGCAAAATACCGTGGATACATGCGATACAGACAAACATAACAACCCAGCTAAATATTCACATACTTGAAAACACGATTCTGTGATAATGGCCATGCCTCATCCTGACCGTGAGCTCGCAGATGATGATGATGATGATGGTGATGATGATGTGATGATGATGATGATAATCATGGTGCTAGTGGTGACGAGTGCTGATGATGATGGTGATGGTGATGGTCGGTGATGTTGATGATGAGTTTTAAAGCTGATATTAATGGTGAAACATCAACGATGATGGCAACCGCGATGTGGTACACCTCTAGCCTTGAAATATAATTCCACAATTTCCGAACTCCAAAATTCCAAATACCCCCAGAGCTCCGAACTGAACCCTGCAGATTAAGAATGCCCCCGAAACTTATTACCTCATTCCCTCGAGGGCTCAGGATTTGTGCAGGGTTGCACAGCTTCGGGTCTTAGCATGTAGGGTGTTAGGGACTCAGGTTTTCGGATTGCAGACTCCGCTAAACCTTAGAATCTTGAAGCATTTAAGGTGGGGTTTGGTTTATGGGGTTTATATATAGCTTACAGGGACATTTATTTGCCAAGTGGTCTTTGGCCGAATCGCCTGCTGTTGTGGCTTTCCTGGTTTAGGGTTTTGAGGGTTTAAGTTTTCAGGACTCCCACCAACATATATAGCTGGGTTCGCCATTACAACAGGGTTGTTTATTTAAGGATTTAGGGGATTCAGATTTCCAAGTGCTTGGGACTGAATTGAACGAACCACTGTTGTGAATGCCAGTTTAGCGGTCTGGGGCTGTAAAGCTTGAGGTCGAGTGTTTGGGATCTAAGTACTCGGACCAGGTGATTTCGAAATTTCAGCTGTTCGGGCTTGGTGAGTTTATAAGACCCTAGCACGAGTCTCAGGGTTTACGGGCTTAGGGTGTTAGGGGCTTCAAATTTGGGTTTTAAGCATTTATTGGGAAGTCGATCGGCCGGTGATTTCCTGCATGCTCGCGCTGCTGCTGGGCACATGTACTGTACATCGAGGGTGCAAAGCAGTCGGACCACGTAGCCAAACCTGCAGCAGGGTTGGAGGAGAAGGGTCCTATATAGTTATCTCGAGTACATCTCTATTTAAATAACTACTAGCTCATTCTATCAGGTTGCAACATGTAGTCACAATTTGGTTTCGGACCGGTATGACTCCATACTGTTATAGTTTGCGTTTCAAAAGATGTATAGTTACACGGCTCAAACGACAGAGAAGGCACTGTAATGCTGCATCATGGCAGCTTTCGAGATGCTGAGCTGGCAAATGCGGAGCAGATCGGCTGATGTATCCAGCTCTATCGTCGTCGCAAGTTTCGTTCGACATCAGCAGCATCATCGGAGAGAATCCTGATATGTTATCTCAAGGATTCTGCTTCTGGGGTGGGGTGGAGCATGAAACCTATAGATCATGCGATTTCACATAGTCCCACCTCAAGAGGTACCGCTTGAGCATGGCACATTCAAAGACCCGTGATGTCGCCGCCACTGCCTTCAACGCAAGAGGCTTGAGGAGCCCGAGAAAGTCCTCTTCGGCGTAATTTTGGTAAAACCTTGGATTGTATCGCTCCATCAAGGCGCCCCGCAGCAGCTCATCCAGTGCGTGTAGTTTGGGCCGTAAGAGAAAGCGCAACTGTGATCGGCCAGCGAAGAGCTTTGCTGCTTCTCTGTAGAGACGGAGGCATAGCTGACCTGCAAGGGGGAATGCAATCCACACCTCATTGAAAATGCTCTTTGAACCGGTGGCCCCGAAACCTTGGCTGTAGAGCTGCTCACTCTGGCTGGCACTGAAGTAGCGGCCAGCAGTCTCCAGATCATTCTGCACTTCGCTCATGAGGAACCTCTTCAAATTCAAGCCCCGAACGGAGGGGGTGAGCTCCATTAATTACAGTTGCTGTATACTGAATCGAAGCCAAGTTTCACACAGGTCGTGATGACATCATTCAAGTCGCAGCGAGATTGGAATGCATCATCCGACTCTCCAGTTCTGCGCTGGCAGATCTTCTGCTGAATGCACGAGTCGCAGAGCATGGCCTTGTGAACAGTGGACCCGGATCTTTTACTTTGAAAGGCTGCTCCGATTCGGGGCTTTATGGAAATACAACGAAGTATAACGGATCAGCTAAGCATCAGCTGCCCACGCGAGCACGATGCGGCAATTGAACGCCTTGTAGCCCAGCCACGGGTAGTCCACCTCGCTGACATGCAGGCGCTTCGAGGTGAAGCATCGCCCGCTGCATGACAGCTTGCTCTTGGACAGCCAGGATTTGAAATTCATAAAGCCGTGTCTCAGCTGCTCGTCCAAGCCCGGTGCGGCATCGGAGAAGACGTGGTGCTCGGCCATCCAGAGTAAGGATTCTGCGCAAAGGGTTTGGAAAACCCCCAATGCCAAAACATGCATCGCACAAAAGCGGATGATTCCTGGATGGAACCCCGGAGTCAGCAGCAAAGGGCAAGGCGACGGTGGCATCGCAACCATCACAAACTCTTCGAAGCTGCGACGCACGAAGTCCGAGCCAAACAGCACAAAGCATTTCCCAGATTGGGATGTCTTCGATGCCCGGCAAAGATGACAGACCTGTTTGGCCTTCCAGTGTGTGTGCATTTGCCACAGCTGCATGTGCCATTCCCAGTCTCCTTTGAATTCTGCCACAGCATATTTCCGAGACAATTCTGGCTTCAATTTCCGGTGGAGCTTCGGGATCTGCAAGCAGGGATCCAGTGGGTTCGCTTGTGGCCGACGCCCATAAAATGCTGCTTGCAAAGACCAACAGGTACGGTGGAGGATCGGTCGCATCGTTACCTCACTAGTGATATCGTGAGATACGGCCACTCAAAACTTCATATAACTTTCAAGATCCGAGATGCAGCACCAGCATTTCTGTAAGAATTCACGACGAAGAACATGTTCGTCTTGCGCCACGGTTCTCCTGGAACACGGGTACAAAAATGGGTATTAGAGGGTTATTACCGGGTTTAAAGGCACCAGAAATATTGCCATGGGTATCGGCTCCTTTTATTCGAAAGAGCGGAAAGCCCAGCAGCAGTGCAGTGAATTTGTCTCCTTCTTTCGTGAATTGTGCGGAATCACCATATACCTAGCAGGGTTGGTTATATAGTTTGCATTGCCTAGCTATAGTACTTTTACTAGCGTAGTACTAGTGCTAGCTGTACTCGTAGTGGCAACAATAGCAGTACTACTCCGATTCGTACCACTAGTTCTGCGAGTACGGTCGTCGTACTAGTAGTAGTATACTATACTTACGAAGTACTACTAGTGGTAGCCATGGTAGCAAAAAAATATAAGTTACAGCAGCAGTAGCAGTAGTGGTATATAGATGTCATGGCACAGAAATCGGCACATGCTCGCCGGAAGCAGGGTGCTTGCACGCCCAGGCGGCACCAAGCTTTCGAAAGTGCTCCCAGAAGTACCTTGCACAAGCATGCTGGATATGTACCTCGACCCTGCATTCTAGCTCTGATGTACACATATATCTCCAAAACTACAAAAATCCGGATCCAGTCACCTGATATCATCGTCCCGAATGACAACCTTTTCGTTGACCCACAACCACTCCAGAAGCTCGTGTGGGTCTATCATAGGTAACTCTGCATCCATGAGTACCCCAGCTTCTGCAGACTTGTTGTCCAGCACTTGTGTTGGAACGTAACTGAGTGCCTGGGGTGGGAATAAGGTATAATAATCTAATATTTATGGAGGGCGGGGATATAGGGTACCCGGTTGAATTAATAAGTAGATCCCTAGCCCTAAAACCCTAAACCCGTAAACCCCAAACCCTGCATATGTTTAAAGATTTGCTAAGCCACGAGGGGCAGCCGCACAAATCTAAATAGATCCCTGCTGGCGTTCTTCGAGTTCTTTCGCCTCATGGAGGCCATCTTTTGTGTGGCACGGTGCATGTTCTTCTGGCCTGCTTCCTGTCAATTATGATTAATTGATCATTAAGGTTGGGAATGTGCGTTCGACCGGGGTCTCTAGCAGTAGAGATAGCTATAGGGCTGCATAGTAATAACAATCAGGTCTAGGGGTCATAAAGAACTGGTTTGGATAAGTCGGCTTCGAAATAATGTACAAGTGTGATTGTACGATAGAGGGATAAGGTATTAGTTAGAAGCTGCCCCCACCCTGTAATAGTGGTATAAGAGGAATAGGGCCCTAATATAATCCTATATTATAATCCTGATGGTCACTATTACAGGGTGGGGGCAGCTTCTAAGGTATTAGTCTTATAATCTTTAAATATATTTAATTATATATATTAGGGACATCGAAACCGAACTGCACACAACCATCGGATCCGGATGTCCTTTGCAGCAGCCTCGGCACCCTTCACAGCAGACCACGCGGAATCGTGCCCTTCACCGACTTGTCTCAGCCTTGCATTAGTAAATTCCCAGGGGCCTAAACACACGTATACAATCCAAGCCCAGACACATGTGAGCAGCGAACGGCATTCTGCTGTCCAGCCCGCAGTCGCCGCCTGCAGCATCATAGCAAATGGGCATCAACACAGCAACAACGTACAGCGCTATCCCCGAAACTGTCGCAAACAATATTGTAGCCTCCGCATCCGTGCAATCTCTACGTAAAGCAGCAGGCCTCCTGGAGATCTGGATTTTGCGCGGTGCAGGCCTGTTGGATTTCTGATCGGCTATACTGGGGACTAAAATAATAAATACACGGTTTGCTCATGGCCTCTTGGGGATCGTGATCTCGAACGGCTAGATGCAGAGGCAGGTTCACGTGGGCCAGAGCGAGATCGTGATCTCGATGCAATATTTTTGGATCTAGCTCTAGTGAATCTAGAGGCAGGCAGCGGTCGGGGAGGTCGTGGTTTGGCCGATCTCCGTCCACATGTCGATGATTTGCGGCTCTCCGAACCTCGGGGAATTTCTAGCCCCCTGAATCCTAAACCCCCGAACCCTAAACCCTTAAACCGCGAACTTGAACCCCCCAAAACCACTAAACCCAAAAGCCTGAACCATAAACCCGTAGCCCTGATAACCTTCAAACAATAAACCTGAAACCCCTAAACCCCTAAGCCCCTTAACTCTAAACCCCTGAACCCCAATACCCTTGTAATATCCCCCTAACCCCTGAACCCCTAAACCCCAAACCCTAGCTATCTAAAGTATACTAGAAGCCAGCTGGGTCAGCACGCGATTTCTTAGATGAGGAAGCAGCATGATCACCTGCGTGGGGGCAATTCGTGGAGATCTGGTGTTTAAGGGGGTCCGGGATAGAAGATCTAAAGCGTGTCGCTAGGTACTGGGTGCAACTGCGACACAATACGGGGTTTTGCTGTTCGGGGTTGAGACTCGGGTTCCTGCTCCAGGCCCTATCGAGTGGGACCACTTTCGCGAGGCAGCGCTGCTTCGATCCATCCAAAAGCGGTTGTTCCCGGCCCTAGGCATGCTAGAAAGTCGCCGATAGAGTTAGCGGGTTTAGTGTGTCCACATTCGATTCTAGCAGCTTTATAGGACCACGGGAACGTCATCTCCCTCGGGTTCTCCCGATTCTCCGCAAAATTTGGATGGCTTCCAGATTTTTCAGGTGTCAGGTTCTCCCGACATCGACAGAGAAATTTAAACCGATGCCTCCCAGCACACTGCATCGCATGGCAGTGCACTTGCATCTCATGTCATACCCAGCCTTTTTAGGCTTTGGCCTTCGGCTTCCCTTTGCCTTTAGGTGTAGCCTTATTAGTCTTGGGGGCTGCTTTGCGGATGGCGGACCTGATCGGCTCAGCAAGCTTCTTGAACTCCAGGAGGGCCTTCAACAAGACCTTAAAACAGATTTCTCAGCGGCTCCTGGATATCAGAACATTGCAACGCTAGATGCGTATGTAATTGCAATTGTACGATCAGCGCTTGCAAATTTAGCAAAGAAACCTCCGTAGGACCTTTAATGGCAGCTTCATCCTTCTTCTGACCCAAGCCCACTTCAACAGCTGATTTGGCAGCTTGCAGGTCGTGGAGTGCCGGGCGGAGATCGTCCATCATGCAGTCCATCATCTTGGTGCCCCTCAGTGGGATCTAGCTATAATCACTGTTTCTGGGATTCGGGACGACCTGAATATCTAGCTACCGGATTTTGGGCTAGCACATGTACATATATATGATCATATATATATGATCAGGATGATGACATCATGGTGATGACTACATCCGGGGGCTCCAACATATTATATGGTTATATGCCTGGCAAGTAGCACTCCAGATGTCAGCAAGGCCGTCTCGAAGCCTTGATACTCCGTCAATTCCATGTTGGCTTTGTTGTTGGCCTGCAAGGATGATAAGTACATTGCCAATTAATACGCCGGTTTTAGGGTTTAGGGTTTAAGGTTTAGGGTTTAGGGTCTAGGGTTTAGGTGTCCCGAGGTTGATATTATGGAGTTTATAATCGGTCTGCCTGGCTAGCTTGCTGCTTCCACGTTTTCTCCTTCTTCACCGGAATCTTCCTCGGGGGCTTTAGATTCGAGCCGGAGCTTGCTGGCGCATTCTGCTCGTCGAGAAGTTTCTCCCTTAGCTGTATATAGGTCTATATAGGGATGCAGCGTTTCTTTTTAGGGATGCCCGGGTTCAGGGTTAAGGGTTTAGGGTCTCGGGGTTTAGAGGCTCAGGGGTTTAGGGTTTAGGGTATTACTAATATAGAGATTTACAAACGTCGCAGCTCTTAAATGCAGCTTGTTGACATAGCTTCAAACATGTCATCTTCCTCGACTTCGGCTGTGCACTCGAACTCGGCAGACGTCTCGAACTTCTTTCTCTTGTAGTCAGCACTTCGGGCATAGTTCTTGTAGCGGTACATATCCTGAGTCAGCACCCATTTGAATATGGGCTAGCGGTTAGCGGTACCGGTACTAACATTTAATTGTATTCCACGTGACTTGTCGGTCCGGGAAGTCAGGATGCCTCAGCTGCGCAATTTGCAGCTTGGCTTTGCAGGCTTCAGGTTTCAAGGAATAAAAATTTGTTGATCGATCCAAGTGGCTTGCGGATGAACTTTCCTGTAATCAGCGGGTCCTCCTTCTGATGCCTGGAAACCAGATCATCTGCCAGCTCTTGCCCGAGCTCCTGAACCATGTATTTGTAGGACCACCATTCGAACGTATCCTCACTCTCCTGGGAGTTCGTTGTCCTGTGTAGGGATATGAAATTATTAGGCGAAGAGCAGAGTGCTTAGAACTCATATATATATTTGTAATTTCACATACCACTGCTGGCCTCATCCTGAGCACCATGACTGAGCTAGACCACACCGACTTGCAGCCCAAGTAGTGGAGGTACAGCTGGTGCATGCGATGATGATCTAGGCTGGGC